TACTTAATTTGTACAAGTTAGCTTGTAGGTCATATGAAAAAGGTGCTTGGCTATATTGGCCTGAAGACCAGTAGCTTGGTAATTTCTGCTGTAGACTTACAGCTTAAAGAATCCTTTTTATTTTTTTTTTTTTGTTGTTTTTTAATACTGGGAGTTGAACTCAGGGCCTCATGCTCTTGTTTAGTTTTTCCACTCAAGGTTGTCACTCTACTTCAGCCACACATTCATTCCTGGCTTTTTACTGGTAAATGGAAGTAAGAGTCTCTTGACTTGTTTGCACAGGCTGGCTATGAATCTTCCTCCTAAGATCTCAGCTTCCTGAGTAGCTAGGATTATAGGTGTGAGCCACTGGTACCAGGTGAGTCTTATCTATTTTATCCTTTTATTTCTTTCACTGGCTGGTAGCAGAGCCAAATGAAAACAGCACAGATTTTGGAGTGATTTAAGTCTGAATTCAAGGTCTAGTTCCATATATATAATAGCTGGCTCTATGACCTTTTTTTTTCTTTTCTTTTCGCTGCTCTCTCTCTCTCTCTCTCTCTCTCTCGGTCAGTCATAGGGCTTGAACTCTGGGCCTGGGCGCTGTCCCTGTGCTTTTCAGCTCAAGGTGAGCGCTCTACCACTTGAGCCACAGCACCATTTCTGGTTTTCTAGTGATTTATTGGAGATAAGAGTCTCATGGACTTTCCTGCTTTGGCTGGCTTTGAACTGTGATCCTCAGATCTCAGCTTCCTGAGTAGCTAGGATTACAAGCATGAGCCACTGGCACCCAGCTGGGTGCTGTCTCTTGAGCTTTGTTACTCAAGGCTATTGCTCTACCACTTGAGCCATAGTTTCACTTCCTGGCCTTTTGGTGGTTAAGTGGAGATAAGAGTCTCAAGAGATTTTCCTGCCAAGGCTAGGCTTCTAACTGTGATCTTCAGATTTCTGCCTTCGGAGTAGCTAGGAATACATACAGGTGTGAGCTGCTGAAGCCCAGCTCTGTGAACTTTGAAGCCATTTTTAAAAGTTGGTACTTTTCATTTTTTAAAATCCTCATTCCATCTTTTTCCAATAATGCAGTTTTCTCAAGTGACTCAGTGGGGAACAGGGTTGTTTTTGGATGTGTCAATCTTTTCCATCATGGAGCCTCACTGGAGAGATGACAAATATTTGAAACAGGCACAGCCATTCTAAGCACCTTAGAAGTCCCACTGAGAGCAGGCAAGTCTGCCTGACTGTACCTGGCCTCCAAGTTGAAAGTTCCCATTGTAATGACAGGAAAGATGGCTACCTACACTTAAATCCTATTTCTTTCCTGAAAGGTGTTAAAACCAATTTAGAAACCAAATATTATTTTCATACCCATTATCTTTAATCTCCATTTCTAAGTGCTTTGCTATAAGTATGGTCACACTAGTTCTATGGAGGGACAAAAGGATTAACTTGGAGAAAGTGTTCCAACTAGTAGGTTGTGGACTTTAGCTCTGCTGTGGGATGGGATACTCTCTTCCATCACTGAATCCACATGGATGGCAGTACGCGCCCAGGAGTCAGAGCTACATTTAATTCCTTCAGTGGATACTGTTTAGAAATGCCTATTAGAAAATATGACATTCAGGTTCCAAACTCTTTTTTAAGCTTGTTTACAGACTTGAAAATTGATTGGGATCACCTGCCAGATTTTTTTTTTTTTAAAGTATCAATACCTGGTATGTGAGTACCACCTTGTGAATCAAATCACAGTAGGTCTGTTTGTAACACAGAGTCAGGGCCAAGATCCACTTTATCCTCTGGCCTCTCTGTCCCTTCGGATTCAGCAGTTGGCTGCTGTCCCCAGGTACCAGCTTCCAATCCTTTGACTGGCTCAAAACCTGGAAGCCTCTAGTCTTGAGGCAGAAGATACATTATTTTGGCAAGTGATCCTCCTCAAACAGGTAAGTTGCTGCTTCTATATCTTTAAAATTATCTTTACAATGCATAAAATTGTATTTAATTCATTGAGGGGTGGGGAGGAGAGGGAACTGGAGCAATGGACATGGTTAGAAGCCAATTAAAATGACATAAAATCTGTATAAATGTGATGGGAGGTGTAGCTCAAGGGGTAGAGTGCCATGAGCAAAAAAAAATCATATAGAAATCTTTCCGATTTATATCTCAAAAATGTTCAGATACCAAAGATTCTCTGAAACGTGTATGCTGTGTCACATTTTCACATAGCAGTACTGGCTCTCTCTTTGATCACCTTTGAATATCTTCTGTTTGGAAGACAACTGCCAGCGGGAATGTAAGAAAATTTTAAAAAATATGTACTTTGGCTTTAAAAGCTTTAAACTTTCCTCTCCCTCCTCCCCACCCTCAAGTCCTCAAAATTGGTTTAGTTCCCTAGTGGAACCAAGTAATATTGTATCATTAAAGCATCATTAAGTCAAAGTGAAAAATAGGACAATATGTTGGTAAGCTACTTGGCGGAGTTGGTTTAAGGATAAAAAGAATCTATGAGACATATGTTGAGTTCCTAAGAAGAAAAACCTCAATACACAGTGTGCCTATCATTAAAATATTTTAAGTTCCCTATAAAAATAACATATTATTTCTCAAATTACAGAGGCCTCTGACAGCAAAGGGGAAAATGATTGTTCTTTCCAAAACAGAATTATTTTTCCATTATTTGTGAACCTATCAACTTTGAAAGCCTTCAGTAGTTTCCATAACTTTTAAGATTGTGTAAAGGAAAATGCTTAGGATGTATTTTACAGTTAGACTTGATCAGATGTCAGTTTTCTGTTATCTATCTATCTATCTATCTATCGTGATATTCAAAATCCCATGCTTTCTAGCAGGTACTCTACCACTGAGCCATACCTCCAGAACTGCTTTTACTGATTATTTTTGAGATAGGGGCTTACTTCCTACCTGGCTCATGCTAGGACAGTGATCTGCCTATTTAGTTTTCCCATTGTTGCTAGGATGACAGGCACATGTCACTGTACTCTGATTCCCTCCACTGAGATGGAATCTCTTGGATTTTCCTGCCCAGGGCTGCCTTAGCACCCCCAATCTCAGTCTTTTATGTAGTTTGATGACAGGAATATGCCATTGGATCTTCAGGTATGGGTTGAGAAGAGGTCTTGAGAACTTTCTGCCAAGGCTGGCCTTAAACAGTGATCTTTCTGTTCTTAGCCTCCCAACTAACTCAAATTACAGGCATGAGCCACAGGCACCCAGCTAAATCCTTACAATTTTTTAAACATTTTCTTTAAAGTAGAAAAAATGCTCTTATCATTTAAATTGAAAAGCTGTTTTGTGGGGAATGACAGCCAATTTGGTAAATAGGAAACAGTAAGCATTAGTACCTGACTGTGCATAGTGGATTCTAATTTGCAGAATATTCATGAATAATATATTCCCATGTTTCCATATGTTCCCTGTGAGGTTGGGGCCAAACCAAGTCTGTAGGGGACAGAAACAGCTGGAATTTAGTGTCTCCAGGACATTTCACTTTAAATCCTCTGCTCTGTAGAAATTATGAGGCAGTTAAGTGTGGACCCTACGACTGCCCAGGTTTCAAATCTAGATTTTGTTCCTTGTATAGTACTGCCAATTGTTTAAATGGAGGTAATAAAAGTACTTGCATCTCATAGGATTATGGAAAAGGTAGAAAATGAAGAGGCACATAGTTGTGTGAAATAGATTTTTTTCTCCTTTTGCTTGATGTTATTTCTTTTGAAAGGAAAGGTTGATAGGAAGGAAAACCATCTAAAAATGGACTGTTTTGATGATCAGTCTGTAACAAGAAATCAGATCTAAGTGTCTTCCTCTAACACTGAGATGGAAACTATTCGTATTCTTAGCAACAGAAGTTTCCAGATCTACCTGGGCCTGGTTCCAACCAGTTGGACTAGTTTGCAGGCACTAGGACTAGGTGACCTCCTTAAACTGGCAGAGTCATGTCGAATGACACAAACATTTCACCCAAGAAGCGTTCTTCTATTCATTTCTCTTGGGTTGAGGAAGCTTTAGTGTGAGGGTAGACTCATCTGCTCATGTGTCATGGGCTCAGCTCAGGGCTTCCAACCCATTTCTTGCAGGCCTGTTTGTTTATTTATTTATTTACTTATTTAACCAGGTGAGTCTGCCCAGCCAATCTTCATCTGTCCAGATGACAGGTCAATGAGCCAGGCCTCAAGGGGGCTGCAACGTTATAACTCTGGCTGAGCTTATGTGATCATCTGACTCCATGACAGGGCATTCAGAAGCCCAACAAGCCAAAAAAAGAAAATCAAAACCCAATCATGCAACACCCACAGGAGGATAATTTCCTTCTATTTCAGAGACGAAAACCTAAACAGCTGTTCCTTCCTAGGATGAACAACCAACAGAAATGCACGTAGGAACCTGGGGCATGCTGGAGCTAAAAGTCACTCAGCCAGAGAGAATTATTGCCTTGAAAGTCATAGTTAAACTTTTTTCTTTTACTTCCTTCATCATGAATAGTATGCATTAGTGCTCATTACATTTTTTTCTCCAAAATAAGATTTAAAATGGAAAGCAGTTGAACCCCATTAGGCAGTTTAGGCTTTAGGTTGACATGGGTTTTGTGGCTCAGTGGGTGCAGGATTGGAAAGGTGCTTTGAAGTTCAGCTTTGTGGCCTACACTTTGGGTCACAACTGAGTCAGCTGAAGCAGGACAGCAAGGAAGGCAGTAAGTATACTCAGAGGTTCAGAAGGATATGAAATACAATATAAGCCAAAGTAGAATAGGGCTTGCGCCCTGCAGGACATTGTCTTACTGATTTTTACCTAAGGGGACTGGTTCACCAGTTGATGAACTCACTGAGAAATCATGATGGTCTCTGTCTGCCTAGGAAGTCTGTTTTCTGTTTGCCTCAAAACTCTCAGGATCTTAAAAAGTTGTGCTTTTTCTTTCTTATTTTTTTTTTTGAGGGGGGAGAATAGGCCAGTCTAAACAGGCAATCCAGCTTGAAAGGTTGGATAAGCAGTAGGTTCTTGAGACTTACCCGTACTACATAGTTGAACCTTCTGGAATCCAGAATGGCAGTGGAGAAGTCCAATCTGTTGAAAGCTTCCCCCAAAGTACAATATCCATGGCGCTAGACGGGAGACAGAAGCATGGAAGTTATTCCTTCCAAGTGAAGGTCATTCTCTAGAACAATCCAACTGAACCAGTGGATGGGCTTGATGCTTCTCTTAGGGGGTCCAGGCATTGACTGAGATCCTGGACGCCATTGAGAAGGGCAGAAAAGTGAGCAGCTGTTTTAGTGTGGGACTAATATGTGGAACACCGATTTTCTGTCTGGTACTAGCTGGGGTCTTTTGGGAAAACATTTCCAGAAGTGAGATAGATGGTGTATGAGATTTTGATGATTGGTAGCAGCTGTAACATACTCCTGGGAGGAGGAGATATGCTTGCCTCTCACTGATGATATTTAAAAAATTAGATTTCTCTTATCTTTTAGTAGTTGTACAAAGGAGTTACCATTCAACAAATCAGTTTGTAACTATAATGCATCTTGCTCATATCACCCCTTTTGTCATTATCTCTCATCCTTCCCAACCCAAGCCCTCCCTTCATTGGATATACATTGAATACCAATAGCCCCCTTTTTTTTTTTTGGTTAGTTCTGGGGCTTGAACTCAGGGCCTGGGTGCTGTCCCTGAGCTTTTGCACTCAAGGCTAGCACTCTACCACTTTGAGCCACAGCTCCATTTCCAGTTTTCTGGTGGTTAAATTGGAGAAAAGAGTCTCATAGAATTTCCTGCCCCAGCTGGCTTTGAACCATGATCCTCAGATCTCAGCCTCCTGAGTAGCTAGGATTACTGGTCCGAGCCACCAGTGCCTGGCCTGATGGCATTTTTAAAAAACTTTATTAGCCAGGTACTGTTGGCTTACACCTGTAATCATAACTACACAAATGTCTGAGATTTGGGGAATTGCAGTTCAAAATCAGCTCAGGCAGGAAAAGTCCAGGCCTATCTCCAATTAACCACCAAATATCTGAAAGTGGAATTGTAGCTCAAGTGGCTGAGCATTATCCCTGGAACAAAAATACTAAGGGACAGCACCCAGGTCTTAAGTTCAAGCCCCAGTTTCAGCACAAAAGAAACAAAGGAACAAAGAGGGGAAGAAAGAAAAAGAAAAAAGGAGAAAGAAAGGCTTCATGAGGTAGCAAAAGAAGTCTTGATGCTTTACCTTTACACATGAAATTAGTCCCCTAATTATTCCCCTGGAATTATGGCTTCAACTTCTAGCTGCTCTTCTAGGTGGTCTTGCTTTTCTAATCATTGAACTCTCTATCTCAAATCACAGAGGGAGGTAACTAGATGTTCCACCCAAGATTATAGAAAGTGACAGTGGTAGAAATCCTGGCATTTTAGCATATTCCTTTGTATCCTAGGTATCTGAACAAAAGCCCTATACTGGGAAAATAAACATAATGGGGGTTATATCAAATGACACCAAGTATAGTTATTATAAGGTCTTGTGCCCTCTATATCACAGGAGCAGACACTTAAAAACTTTTAGATTTAGTGATTGGCCTTTCCAGGGCTAAACATTAACCAAGCTTAAGTCTGAAGAGATCTTAGCACAAAAGGGAGACAGTGCCTAAATAAAAATCCAAGGCTTCATAATAATACAGGTATGATTGCCATATTAATCGTGATAAGAATTTTTATTTTTGTGCCAGTCCTGGGGCTTGAACTCAGGGCTTAGGGCTCTGTCTTTGATCTTTTGCTCAAAGCTATCCCTCTACCACTTGAGGCATGTATCCACTTCCAGCTTTTTGCTGGTTCATTGGAAATAAGAGTCTTAAAGACTTTCTTGCCTGGGCTGTCAGCAGCGCTCAGATCGCAGGCCCCTGAATAGCTAGGATTACCACTGGTGCCTGGTTGAATAAAGCACTTTTATGAATATTCTATCACTAGATGACTGAGGAGTTCAAGTGGCTTTTTTACTTCTTTCTTTCTTTGTAGCCCCTAAACTCTGATGATTGACTAGGCATAGGATGCTAGCTGCTAGCCATCCTGCTTCCCAGCACTCAAGGCAGCCAGGATTGGAAGTAACATCATTGCTCAATTCCCTCTCTTCTACCCTCCCTCCCCCTCCATGCCTTTAGGGAGGAATAAGGTGTTTTTTTTTTTTTTTTGTGTGTCGGTTGTGGGGCTTGAACTCTGGGCCTGGGCGCTTTCCCTGTGCTCTTCAGTTCAAGGTGAGCCCTCTACCGTTTGAACCACAGCACCACTTCTGGTTTTCTAGTGATTTATTGGAGATAAGAATCTCATGGAGCCAGGCGCTGGTGGCTCATGCCTGTAATCCTAGCTACTCAGGAGGCTGAGATCTGAGGATCGCGGTTCAAAGCCAGCCCGGGCAAGAAAGACCGTGAGACTCCTATCTCCAATAAACCACCAGAAAATCGGAAGTGGCGCTGTAGCTCAAGTGGTAGAGCGCTCGCCGTGAGCTGAAGAGCTGAGGAACAGCGCCCAGGCCCAGAGTTCAAGCCCCACGACCGACAAAAAAAAAAAAAAAAAACTCATGGAGTTTCCTACCCTGGCTGGCTTTGAACTGTGATCCTCAGATCTCAGCCTCCTGAGTAGCTAGGATTATAGGCGTGAACCACCCATGCCCATCTAGGGAAGAATAAGTTTAAGCAGAATGGTTTAATTAATGGATGAGTACTCACCTCTTTTGTACTTCCTTTATGAACATAGATCCATTTTTCTTGGTGGAAATCTACAGACACCCAAAACAAAAAAAAAATGATACACATCTTAATAAATTATAACATGCCTAGATTTTAAACATGACTCTTTCACTTGTACAAAGTTAAGGAAAGTGTTTACTACTTATTTTTTAAATTCAAAATTGGGTCTTTAAATTTAAAACGGAACCCAAGCTGGCCTCCATTAGAAGTCCACCAGCTTCAGTCTCTTGTAGTCATGCACAGCCACTTCCAGCTAAAGAGTTTTGACCAAAGTGAAAAGATTCTACTGACAAATCTAGGAGGATGGAAATACTTAATTTCTTCCTTCCTTCCTTTCTCTCCCTTCATCTCTTTCTTCCTTCCCTTTCTTTTTCCTTTCTCTCTCTCTTTCCCTCTCCCTTTTCCTCTTTTTCCCTGACCCCACCTCCCTTCCTCCCTGGGTCCCTCTCTCCCTCCCCCTCTTCCCCCCTCCTGCTAGTGGCAATTGAACCAGGGCTTTATACTTCTTATTCTAGCACTTTACCATTTGAGCCATGATCTCATGTTCCAATGCCTAATTTCTGTAATGTATAAATACTGGAGCTATAACTTGCATTGTTTGAAGCATTCTGAATTTTTGACTTAGTATATAAAAATTCAAATTAAAAAATCTAATATTGAATGTGGTATCTTTGTTTTAAGTGCCATACTTAAAATTTATCCAAGGCCATAAAAAGTAGAGATAAAACTAATAACATGAGAAAACCATGCAGTTTAATTAGATTAAACTAATCTTTATTACATTCTTAAGAATGGCACTTTAGGTCCTCTTCTAATACTTACAGCAAACATCTAGACATGTTAATAATATTTCTATAAGGAAAGAGGAACAAAATGGTTTCCAGTCTCTAAACACTGTTCTAAATAAAAACACATGGTGGGATCAAATCAGCTGACTATATCACTGTATAATGACTATATTACCTATGTCCAATCCAAGGAACAAATAGTAAAAAAGCACCCCAATAAGCAAATGGCTTATGAACAAGACTGTCAATAACTCATCAATCTTGCTTGTAAAATACACAGCTTTCTGGGTGTAAACATCACAGTATCAACTGGGTGCCAGTGGCTCACACCTGTAATCCTAACTACTCAAGTATCTGAAATCTAAGGATTGAGGTTCAAATCCAGCCCAGGCAGGAAAGTCTGTGAGACTCTCATCTCCAATTAACCACTAAAAAGCTGGACAGTGAGCTGTGGCTCAAGGAGTAGAGTATCAGACTTAAGCGAAAAAAACTTAAGAGTTGCACCTAGGCTCCAAATTCAAGACCCAGTACTCATATAAAAAAAAAATCCCAGTATTTCTGCAAGTGACAGAGTAAACACTAAAGCAGCAAGTATGATTTTTTTAAAAAGAAGAACCAATAATAATGATCTTCAAATAGCTTCTCAAGTTCAAGGGTAATGGCTTACATTGAGTTTTGGTTTTGCTATTCTGTATGTCCTTCTTTCTCTTCTTGGCAGCAACATCATAGTTGAGGCTGTTGAAGAGGTTCTCCTTGTTATATACCTCCTTGTTGCAGTAACTATAATAACATAAAACACAGGGTGAGTTGGAACTCTACTATTTAATATGGGCTGTTTCTATAAATAACTTACTAGGTTATAAAACACACAAACAAATACACTTCCCAAACATAAAAAAATCCCAATAAATAATCTCTCAAAAACAAGTCCAGATTGGCACAGACTGATCTCGTTTAGGATGAAATATTAGGGGTGGAGGCTCCTACCTCTTTGAATTCCTTAACAGGGTCTGCCATTGTAGTTTGATAACTAGCGATAGTCTTTGTCTAAGAGAAATACAGGGCACTACTGGGTCACTTTTAACTGGTGTTAAGTCGGAGGGGCCGATTCCTGCTGTCACTGTACCACACCATGCCTTCATTCTCCAGAAGCATCCAATCGAAGCTCCCCTTCCTCGCCTTTCTCCTTCTCTAATAGCTCTATTGAGAAATAACTCACTCATTTAAAGTTTACCAAACAAGCAAAAAAAAAAAATCATCAGGACTCTAGACATTCACACACAGTGAAACCAAAGAAGGATATTCTTAGGAGAGGAACACAAAGGCACAATGCCTATGTACGGCTGATCATATACAATAATATTTATTGAAATGAACTCCAGGAAATGAAAACAAGAGGTTTTTTTTCTTTGTTGTTGTTTTTGCTTTCTTTTTTTCTGTCTTTTTGTTTATCTGCCTTTGGGAGGGTAAGAAGTGGGCACAGACATGGAAGGATAACAGGCGAACAAATGCAGCAGTGGTACTCACTGCTATTCTATACTGTCCTACTTGCCTATACTATTCTTCTATTTTACTGTTCTATTCTACTACACTGTTGAAAATGAATTATACAACTAGTGGGTGGGAATAGGAGGAAAAAACTGGGGGTGAGGGAAGGGTGACATTGTCCATAAAGAAGGGTAATCATTACCTGATTTATGTAAATGTAACCCCTCTGTAGTCACCTTTATAATAACAATAAAAAAGCAAAAAAAAATCATGTCTTTAAAACATGAGCATAGCTGGGCATGGTAGTATCTATCTGTAATCTCAGCACTTGGGAAGCTAAGACAAGATGACCTGAAGTTTAGGGTTAGCCTGGACTACTCAGCATATTTCAGGGTAGACTGAGTTAATAGCATAATTCGGTTTCAAAAGACAAAACACTGAAATGAAACAAACAAACAAAAAAAACCAAAAGAAATTTCCACATTCTACAGATGCTTCATATATACTACTAGCTGTTTAGGTTCAAAACCTTGGGTCTTGATTAAAACAAAGGAAATTAATAATTTATAGATTTAGAAGGGATCAAAACATTGAGTGAACCTGTCCAATATACAGGTCATTAAGGATGGACAGATTCAGTCTGAGCCAGGCACATATTTCCCCCAGCAGGTGCAGGAATCATGGGAGTGAAAGGCTGGCCTCTCCCCTCTTGGCTCAAGTGTTTTATGTATCTAGAGATGGAATATGAAGGGTTGACCCCACCTTATTATCCCGTATAGGATATATAGACACCAGGCTAAACCCCAGGTCGGCCTGCTTGACGTGCAGGTGAGGCAATCTGACCTAAGCTGTCAACATTCCATTGTGGGCCCAACCAAAAAGCCCCCCCACCTCCCTAGACCTAATGGCTTTTTGATTAACCTCTGCCTCCTTGCTCAGACCTCCATGTAAGCCCGACCCCAAATCCACCCCTTTGTAAGCCTCCATCCCCACAGGAAGGTTGTGCCCCTTGCTGGCAATGAAGAGTCCTAGCCTGTTGAGAATCTAGTGTCCAGTCTATTCCGTTTTCCTTTCTCTTGCATTTTCCTATCAGGGAGGGAGACCCGATGAATGCTATTCTTCCAGACATTGTGTTTTTCAAAGTAAGCTGAAGAGTTTCACAAAAGGGCTGCAAGAAAAATATTGAAGTTTCACACGAAGAGAGAGTCCCTACCTCTCTCAACCCACCTGAGTCATGCAAAGCAGCATGGGCTGTAACAAGTAGCAGAATACAAATTGAGTGTGCTGAATTTAAAGTGTGACTTGACTTCTACCTTTTCTAGATTTTCATTTGTGGGTTAGTAGAAGGTACACCTGTACGCTCCTCCATGCCCTGTGTAAACGGCAGAAGCCTACAGGGCTTGCAACCATTTCTTGTAAGCATCCTTTTGTTATACAAGTCTTTCCAATTAGTCTACTAAGTATGATACTGAAGCAAGACTCGGTCAATAATATAGTCAGTGCTGCTTTTTTGGACTCATGGGGGAAAAGCTTGATGGATCATCAATCACTTGTTAATCTTCCTTCTTAAAGCCATCCTGAATACCACTTATCAAGTTTCCTAAGATCTTTAGCCTTCTCCTTTTCTTTCAGGGAAATCGGTTATTTTTAGATTACAGATAGGGTATTACAGAACTGTCCTCTCAGAGGCATGTTCTGAATCAAGCCAAGGGTGAATGTTTTGGGCAGGCTTTGTGTAACTTATAAGCATGTGTTTGTCTAGTTGCATGGCTGTAAGAGTTACCAAGTCACTGGTGAGTTGATCATCTGACCCAATGTCAGCACTGCAGCATGGGGCAGAACTAAGAACAGAACCCCAAGGTTAACTTACAATGTTTCAATCAAAGCTTGGGAAAAGAGTAAAAGATGGATGATCACGTGAGTAGTCTGGACCAAGGCTTTACACAGTAAAGCTAGGACACGTGGTATGTAAAAATACCACAGAAAGGCTTGTTTTTAAAGAAAACACTCCCTCCCATACAAATAGCAAAACCTACAATATAAATTCCACATAGGGAGGGAGCCATCACACAAAGGCATTCATTCTCAATTGCGCATCGAAGGATTCTCAGGAACTTCTCAGATCCTGGGCCACAGTTGGTGCCCATTCTTTAGAAATTTCAAATATTTATATTTCATCATATTCTCTTCTAATGAAAGCATTCTTCAAGGGAATTTGAGTGCCTGCTTTTAACACTGAAGCCATAATAACCTGCCTAAGGCTGAGTGACTCATTTCAAAAGCCAGTTTAAGACGAACTTTACGTAACTGATGATGCTCTCTCTTCCTAGAGAATGTAGAAAAGTCTGAACTGAAGGTAAACTATATTATATCTCATTTGGTATTTGGTTTTGAATTCCAAAGGTAGGGACTGGAAGGAAGGGCTGTGGGGTTTGTGTTGTCTGCTGATGTTTTCTTTTAAGCTATAATATATTCAGAGGCTATTTTGAGAACTCAATTATGTCCTCTTCAAGGAAATGCAAAACCAATGGAAAACTACAATTGAATTTTTTTTTAACAAGACAAACCACCACTGTTTGGGGATTGCAGCATTTAATTTTTTTAAAAATAAGCATAACCATCTCAAGAAGGCTGCTTTCTTTGCTAAACTCAATAATAGCCAGCAAGTTGCATTATGTAGTCAGTTCTTACTAATCTTGATTTTTTTTTTGGTCGGTTTTGGGGCCTGAACTCTGGGCCTGGGCGCTGTCCCTCAGCTCTTCAGCTCAAGGCTAGTGCTTTACCACTTGAGCCACAGTGCCACTTCAGGTTTTTTCTGCTTATGTGGTGCTGAGGAATCAAACCCAGGGCCTTATGCATGCAAGGCAAGCACTCTACCACTGAACCACCTTCCCAGCCCTAATCTTGATTTTTATAGACATAGGCCTAAAATAAAGACAAAAAGATAGTAACTCCCCTCCCCCACTATCAAACACATATTAAGATACTGTAAAGCAACTTCAGAAAAGGTAGAACGATTTCTAAATAAGACCATAAGTAAGACCAGTTGGCAGCAGATAAAAGAGGGAATGGAAGAATCAGAGGCCTATCTTTATTTCATCTGCAACAACAACATCAAAATAACAACAACAAAAAGCATTTAACAAAGCCATGTCCTGCACCAAAGTACTTATATAGTCTTGATTAAGGCCAGTGAGATTTTAATGCTAAGTTGTGCTAGTCATATCGATTGCCAAACTCACAAAAGAACAGTACCTGGATTGCTCCAGTGAAGCCAACAGCCTAATGTATAAAACTCTTAGAATAGTGTTTTACATATAGTAAGCACTTATAAAATCTTAATTACTAATTTTATCAAGGACACCAAGGCAAACTTCCTGCTTCCGGGTCTAGCCTTAGCAACATAGTAAAGCAACACTGGAGAGGATTTTTAACAGCAGAAGTGCAGGCGTGTGCAAGGGAGCCTGGTTACTCACTCCTCCTGGGGTGGTGGCTGGCAGGGGGGCGGGGGAGGGCGGGTGGCAGGTGAGGGCAGCACAGGCTGCCTTAGCCACCACTTCCTTGAAGTATTCTTGGATCACTCCAATTCATGCTCTGTTCTTGCCTTGAAGTTTTAATCTGCCTGACCAAATTGAACACTGGCTATTTGTCTTCTATTTTACATAGTTTCAACTTTTTTTGGGGAGAAGGGCTTTAAATTTAATCTTTACTCCTCCCATGACCTCAGGAAGCACTTGGTTTCTGTTTGAGGGCAGAGCCCTGGAGCAGAGGAAGAATAATCAGCAGAGTCTAGAACAGATGTACTGTGTCCATAAGCCACGATTAGCACTGAACAATAACCACTAACTGTACCCTTTATCTTGCTGGGCAGCTCACAGATTGGTAGATAGACGTGGAGAAGTATTTCAGGCTTCTGCGGTTCTGTGTACAGTCCCCTCCCCCTCTTCTTTAAAGGGCCTGCCTTTTGTTTTCTGGGAATAGGAGTGGTCATTGGAGCTCACCTGTGCAGCAGGCATTCTGCCCAAACCTGACATCACCGAGAACCCAAGATGGAAAACAGTGAGCGAGATATTTGAGATTACAAAGTCAGATCTCAGAAAGCCAACTGCTTTTAAGTTGGCAGACTCTTCCTGCTAAGTAAGGAAGGGATTGTTTACAATTACTGGGGGAAAAAAATATCATGCAAACAGCCAGCTGCTTTGCTGGGAGATTACTCAATGGGTTCATCCCCTGACTCATCAAAGGAACACAGGTGGTCACTGTACTGATTACAGATGAGTGTGGCAGCTCCAGCTCACAGGTGTGAAATGGGAGGAAAAGGGATGGGGGAGGAGGGTGGGAAGCTAGCTAGCTGATTCTAGCCCAGTCTAAACTTCTGGGGTAAGTTTAAACTATCTCCACATCTTCCACATTGGAGAGTGAGGAGTCACTAGTTCTGAATTGAGGGAGTCTTTATAAGAATTGGAGGTCTCCATTTCAAGTCCCGTCCTGCTAAACAAAGACAGTAGGCATCTGTTCTGTCTTTCATTGTGTTACAGTGGGTGGGGTCCCTGTTGTACTTTCCTAGAAAGAATATGAACTTTTAGACCAAAATAAAGAACCAGAACAGGGCTGGGGAGTGGCTCAGTGGTACAGTGCTTGCCTTGCATGCATGAGGCCCTGGGTTCGATTCCTCAACATCACATAAGAAAAAGAAAAAAGCCAGAAGTAGCTCTGTGGCTCAAATGGTAGAGAGTTAGCCTTGAGCTGAAGAGCTGAGGGACAGTGCTCAGGCCCAGAGTTCAGGCCCCACGACCGGACCAAAAAAAAAAAAAAGAACCAGAACATTAGATCATAAGGAATGAGGAGGAGGAAGGAAGTTGCTACTCTCCCCGTTGCCCTCAGTTGAAGGAGAATAACTGAAGTATAATCTGCAACTGCAGACCCTAGAAGCCAGTAGGGCGACAACAATTGGCCTTTTAAAGTACTTTTCTGTAAACACATTATCTGATTTTCTGCGAGTAAGGTTTCTTTATTGTGCATCCCAAACTCCTCTGTGAGGACCCTCAAAGAATCTGTCATAGTAGGTGCCAGGCTAATTTGTTTCTCTTCATTGAGAGACAAAGGGAATTGGATGCACTACAAATCACAAAGGAGAGGTTTTGGAGGTCAAGCTGCCAAAATAACCACGTTTTCTTACAATTTATTACAAGGCTTTATCCAGACATCACTAGTAAATCTCAGTCAGTGGGAACCTGGCTCAGTTTCAGAACTCTCCTAGAAGTCAATTTAAACACGTAGGGGATAGTGATTTTGGCAGTATCAACTCACTCTGGATCCATTTATTTTTTTGTTTTGTTTGTTGCCTTCCTGGTTTCAGCCATTAAATGGCCAGTCTCAGGGACTCATCTGTGCAAGTCCAGGGCTGACTGATTCCAGGCCACATAGTTTACTCGTTGACACCTTTTGTGATCTTAGATTCTTCCTGGGACTGAAAAGAGCTCAGGTGAGACCGAAAGGTCCCAAGATCTTTCTCCAGCTGGCAGGACCCACTCTGGAGAAAGGAGTACGCTCACCACGCAGTGCTGGAAAAGGGCCACCGAGGAAACAGGTGCAAAGACTGGGCTATCCCCAAAGCAGAGAGAGCTTGTGGGGTTTGGCCCCCTGGCAGCCCCCAGGCCCTGCCACCCCTACCCCCACAAAGGTAGCCCTTCAAGGCAACTGTGCCAGGCACCATCGGCTGCCCCCACCCCCCACCCAAGCACGCAAGTTCCCGGCCCACTCTGCCATCACCTGCCCGGGCATGGGGAGAGCCTGTGGGCGCTCAGACCCACATCCAGGCTCGTCACCCGGCGTGTGGCTGGCGTGCCTGGGCGCTCCGTGCAGTCCCCGCCGGGCCGTGCAAGGCGTACAGCCCACTCGCCTGCGCCCACAGAAGCACCGCCTGCCGTGTGACTCAAATCGGGTGTCCAAAGACAGGGCGCCCCAGGGTGGTGTGCTTAAGTGTGAACGGCGGGGGGGGGGGGCGGATAAGAGCCACGATTGCACATGGTCAGAGGAAGGGTCTGGAAGGGTCTGGGTCTGTGTCCATCTGGAGGCACTGACCCTGACCAATAATGAGAGAGAACGAATCCCGCGGCTCCTGTCCTGCAGAAATCTGCGCGACTCCCTCCCATCCGCGGGGGTCCGCGGCCCCCTGCCCACCCTGTCCCAGACCCGCGTGTCCTCATTCACCGGCCCTTCCGTGCGTGGGGGGGGGGCACCCCCGGATCGAGCCCGGTGGGACTGGCCTGGCTGGAGGTCGGGGATGGCCCCTCACCTGCTGAGATCGCTCACGAAGCTGCCGCTCTTCTCATCCAGGAAGCGCTTCCAGCCGTCCGCCGTCTTCACCCAGCTTTGCCCCGGGGACCGCCAGTCCTGTCCGAGGAAGGGCATGGCGCCGGGAGGAGACGCGGTCACGGACGGACGGACTGACAGGCAGCACCGGCCTGGCGGCCTGGGGACGAGCGCCGAGCGCGCAGCCCTAGGGCCCCGCGGTGGGGGCGCAGCCGGGAGCTGGTGCGGAGGGCTGGGCGCCCTCCGTGATCGGGCGGAGCGCGGGCGCTGGGGGCGGGCGGGCGTGGGGTGTTCGCCGTCGGGCTCCAGAAAGTGCAGCCCGGCGGCGCCCGCCCCGTATTTATCCCGGCCGCGCTGGCCCGGCTCTTTGTTGCCGGAAGAGCCTCAGCGCTCAGCCCGCCCCCGTCCCGGAGGCCACGTGGCTTTGTTTATGGGCTCGGCTTGTTTTCCCGGGCGCGGGGGGCGGGGGGCTCCCGCTCCTTTCCCCGGTTGCACAGCCGCGCGCGCCCGTGGAAACTTGAAGCCACGCGGCCCGGCCAGGTCTCCCACCGCCCCTCAGTCCCCTGGCCCCTCGGTGTCCCCTCTGCACCCCCTTCTCCGGCCCCCCCCACCCCTTTACGCCCCCTCTGCCCTCCCTGCGGCGGCGCAGAGAGCCAGTCTGCGGAGTGGAGCCCGGCCCTCCTGTGGCTGTTGGGGTGGTACCCGGGGAGGGGGGGGGGCGGGGAGGGCGTTGTTCTCTCCTTGTCTAGATCACCGCAGGGCAGACGGGCAGATGGGGTGGAGGACCGACCAGCAGTCCCTGGCATCCCCTAAACCAGGCCCGTGCGTCTTCTCCAGGGCCAGGCTAGGGGGCGCATTCTGCTGATCTGATCAGGGTGTCAGGGTTGGAGGGGTGTGTGTGTGTTCCATTCTGTTAGGGAGAGTGTGTGTGTGTGTGTGTGTGTGTGTGTGTGTGTGTGTGCCATTCTGTTAGGCCTCCCTTCTCCATTGGCAAAGGAAGGGGTAAGGGGCTTTGGGGGGACCCAGGAGGAGCTGGCTCTTGGGACAGCCCCCTCCCCCCATTTTACCTAGGCACTGGCCAGGGTTGTAGGAGAACCTGGCCCTGTTCACTGTCTGAACCCTGCTGTAAGGGTGGGGGCTGGGCGTCTGTTCTGAGGACGCCCCCATGCTCTCCTCTCGTTCCTCCCCTTGGGCATCTCCGCTTGTGGCTAATGAGTCCTCTTGTGAATTTTGTTGTAATGTTGGTGAAGTGAAGAGAGAAGGGCCCAGGATGCCCGCCAGCTGACTGCCTTGCACTGTCCTGCCCCAGGGCCTCGCACAGGCCCTCACTCACCTTAGCGATGAACCTAACCAAAGTGAGAGTCACCCTGATTTCCAGATGAAGCGACTGAAGGCCCAGAGGGAGATCAAGCTTCTCAACTCTGGGTACAGTCTAAAAAGATCCTGCTTGCTTTTACATGTGTGTCAGTGAGAGTACTGGGACTTGAACTCAGAGCCAAGGTGCTGTCTCTTAGCTTTTTGGCCCAAGGCTGTTACTCTACCACTTGAGGCAGAGCTCCATTTTTGGCTTTTTAGTGGTTAATTGTAGGTAAAAGTCTTAGGGATTTTCTTGCCTATGCTGGCTTTGAGCCACAATACTTAGATCTCAGCCTCTTGAATGGTTAGGATTATAGGCTTAAGCTACTAGTACTTGGATTTCTTTTACTTTTTTTTTTTTGAATAATTTTTTATTGAGATTAGGTGATTACATAAATTTCACATATTTCACTGTATTGTGGAATAGTGATACTTAGTTAAAGTCACAAATACATATTAACTTTCACAAGGTAAATTGTCACTATCATGATCTATAAAGTTTGTGAATTCTAGGAGCTTTGACAATTGATTATTATTTAAATAAAAATCTATCCCTCCCTGCAGAGTGATGCTCCAGGAAAATTGGTCCTCTCAGCTCAGAGTTGGCCTTCAGTATTTCTTGTGTGAGTAAATGAATGTAGGTAGGAAGGGATAGCATCAAGAGGGCTCCTGGCCTTTCATCACATCTGGTTAGGATACTTTACAGCCTGATCCATTGGGTAATTGGATGGCACAATTCATTAGCTAGTACTCAAGATATTAGTTTCTAGCTCTAGTTGTCATATTTTCATCCCTGTAGCCACTGGCAGCTTTTCTCCTATGTTCTGGAAGGATCTCAAAGGCAGAATAGGCATAAGAACCTGGGTCCCCTGTGTGGGAAGGAGGAAAAAGATTTTTGGGGGGAGTTGTTGTTGTTGGTCCTGGTGCTTGAACTCTAGGCCTGAGCGCTGTCCCTGAGCTCTTCAGCTCAAGGCTAGTGCTCTACCACTTTGAGCCATAGTGCTACTTCCGGTTTTCTGGTGGTGGAGATAAGTGTCTCACAGACTTTCCTGCCTGGGCCGGTTTTGAACTTAGATCCTTAAATCTCAGCCTCCTGGGTAGCTAGGATTACAGGCATGAGCCACTGGTGCCCGGCTTAAGAAGATGTTTTTAATAAAGTCTGTTTTCAAGTAGCTAAGGTTTTCTGATTTAGGTTTCCCACCATAAATAATTTATTACTGTAGCAATAGTAAAAATGGCTGTAAAAACAAGGCCAAAGATCCCAAACAAATATTCGGCACTGCAATCATTGTAAGAGATGAGCCAATGTTGGTTCTTCTGGACTTGGTTGGAGCAAATCGGTATTGACAAGGAAGCACAATTAAGGGATGTGGTTATTAAAGATGAATGCTTAGTTATGAGCCAGGAAACTACTTCCCTAGAGAAACCGCAGAGAGCTAAGAGGTAGAAGATTTGATTTTTAATTCTGCTAGAGCAGCATATGGCTTACCCCAACTTGAATGAATAATACCACACAATAATACTCTTATTTACTCAGCTGTCAAGAACAAATGGTGCTAACCATGCCTACCTTTTCAGGAGTATTTAGAAAGTATGGTAGATTGGATTACTAGTACGGATCCTTCCCTTCTTTGTAATATTGTTATTTGCATCCATACCCTTATCATGACCTCATGGTGGGTCATGTATACTTTTCTATTTTTTAACCACGTGACTTGCTTTGGCCAATGGGATGCCAGTGCATACATGTGACTAGAGTATGACGTATGTACTAATCGGGCTGGTTTGATCTCTTGGGTTTCTACCAGTTCTGTGAAGTAGCCACAACTCTGAATTGCTTGAATCCTAGGATTTGACATATGGAACAGGTTCTTCAATTGTCCCACAGATGTATGAGGAAGAAGTGAATAATTCAGATTGAATGTTGCTGAAGTTATTTTGGTCTTTAAATTTTTTTAAATTTATTTTTATTGTGAAAATACCATACAGAGGGGTTACAATTACACGGGCAAGGCAATGAGTACATTTCTTATCAAGCATTGTTGCCTCCAGGTCTTTCTGTTATACAGTGTTATTGTATCAGGAGTTGACCGCTGCAAAAGGTTGAGTAATTGGAACTTGATGAAAGCTTTTTAATTTCTAAAATCCAAATGGAAGTAGGAAGGAACATTTTTTTTCTTGGTCCTTGTCTTTTTGAGATCAGCAGAACTGATCTCAAGAGGCCTCAGTGTTTGTCTTGAGTCCTTCAACTTTCTCTGTCTTAAAAAAAAGTGTGGCTATTGTATTTTAGACTTCTAGAGTATGGCCTATGGCTGTAGATTTCCTCCATCATGTATGAGTTCACTCTTTCTCAAACACATGGTTTCACCTAGGAAGCTCTGCAGTGCTGGCTCCCACGGGATAAAGTATGTACTGGGTCAGTGAGCTTCACAGCAGAGGTTGGCTTAACTTTGCAAAGACCTTGATGGCAAGCCTCATGGGAGCTGAGCGTTTTCCAATCACTAAAGGCAAAGTATTAGTGTGAGAGCTGTGGGCTGAAGATTCAGAAGTAGATGGATATTGGAACATTCCAGGAGGCTCATCTTGTCCTGTAATGACGATGTGAGTATGATGTGATCACTACAGCTGTAGTTCCACTCCACTTGTACGGGTCACCATGCAGCCTTCTAAAACAGTCTGCCCAGATTGCATGCTGGGTATTTGATTTGTCACTTGTGCTTAGACACTGTCTCAGCAGGTACCACAGTACCTGGCATGGTACATGACATATGGCATACAACCAGTAAATGAGGGCTGTTGGCTTGACCTGGAAGGCTATCAGTCCTGTGTTTTCCCTTACTGACATTTTACTGGGGACTTTGGCATGATGGGAGATTTAGTCCTGCCCCTACAGCTACATTCATCACAGAGGTACCTTACTAGTTGATGAGGCAATATGGTCAGAAGTTGGCATCTTAGAAAAACCAGGTGACTGACTTGTCCATGATGGAATGTGCTGTGCCAAGGACACTGTGCCAAGTGCGTTGCAAACCCATCCTGTTTAACACCCACAAACTACTTCACAGAGAAGAAATTTAGGCTTAGAAGAATTAACTGGCTTGCCTGAGATCACCCAGTATGTATGAAATGGAACTCAAACAGAAACCCAGTTCTCCCTCTGGCATAGACTTGAGCCAGACTGCATTAGATTTGATTGTGGTTCCCCAGTTAAAAATCTGTGTGAATCTGGGCAAGACACTATCTTCATTTGGAAAATAATAATATCTATGTTGACCTATTTCGGAGAATATTATGATGATTTAATAAGAGAATATAGGTGCTTAAAACAATGCTACCCCCAGCCATAGTTCATTCTTTCTTTTCCTTCCTTCCTTCCTTCCTGTCTGTCTTTCTTTCTTCTTTCTTTCTTTCTTTTTTGTCAGTCATGGGGCTTGAACTCTGGTCTTGGACACTGTCCCTGAGCTCTTCTGCTCAAGGTGAGTGCTCTACCATTTGAGCCACAGGGCCACTTCTGGTTTTCTGGTGGATAATTGGAAATAAGAGTCTCACAGACTTTCCTGCCCAGGCTGTCTTTGAACTGTGATCCTCAGATCTCAGCCTCCTGAGTAGCTAGGATTATAGACATGAGCCACTGGTGCTTTCTTTTTGCAAAGTTTACATCTCCATTCCCCCCTCCCCACCCTTGGTTAAGTCCATATCCATCTTCTCCTGCCATGGAATGTTTTGTTGCTTCCCAAAGTACATAGCATAGCTCACTCAGCTTACTTCTAGACCTGGGAAAAGTGTCTATTGCAGTAAAAGCATAGTGAAATGATAGCTTGCTCAGCATTAGTTACTAATTATTGTCTTTGAACTATGGAAATGGTCCTTATTCTGTAGCACATATAGGAGACAG